ATTTTATGCTTTGACATGATCATCTTAGTCATCCAAGATCAATAATGATGTGCAGCATCATTGAGAACTCACATGGACATTTTCTAAAGAACCAAAAGATTCTTTTACCAAGTGAGTATTCATGTTCTACTTGTTCACAAGGTAAAAACTGATTTTTGAATTTTCTAACTTTTGCAATGAAGGTGATTTTTGAATTTTCTGACTTTTGCTACGAATTCATGAAAAATATATCTGGGCCAATACACCTTTCGTGTGGATCATTTCATTATTTCATAGTTTTAGTTAATGTATCAACAAAATTGCCACATGTGTGTTTACTTTCTATATAGAATGTCACATTGCAAGACTTTTCGCATAAATAATCCAATTGCGAGCACAATATCAAATTATCTAATTAAGACAATTTTTCTAGATAATACTGGTGAGTTTATGTCTCAAACATTCAATAACTACTACATTTTGATAGGAACGAATATTGAGTATCCAATTGCACACACTCACACTTAAATAGTCTAGCTTAGTCTTTTATTAAATGTATTCAATTGATAGCTCGTCCAAAACTTTTGAAGACGAAATTACCTATTTTTGCTTGGGGACATATTGTATTGCATGCAATATCTTTAATTCGTGTTTGACAAACTACATATCATACATATTCACCAGCACAACTTATTCTTAGTCAGCAACCAAATATTGCTCACCTACGGATTTTTGGTTGTGTTGTATATATTCCAATTTCACCACCATAATGGACTAAGATAGGTCCATCATGTTGACTTGAGATTTATGTTGAATTTGATTCTCCTTCGATAATTAGATACCTTGAACCCCTGACCGGTGATGTATTTAAAGCATGGTTTGTAGATTATCATTTGATGAGTCAAATTTTTTATCCTTAAGGGGAGACAAAAATAAATCAAAAGAACAACATGAAATCACTTGTAATGCTCTAACGTTATCTCATTTTGATACTTGGACAAATCAATGTGAACTCCAAGTTCAAAGGATCATTCATTTACAAGGTATTACAAATCACTTACCTAATGTATTCACCAATAGAAGTAAAGTAACAAAGTCACATGTGCTAGTTGCATATGCACCCGCGAGAATTGATGTTCTTGTAGGATAATCTAGTAGCACAATTACAAATGAATCTAAGACACTCTTGAAGCGTGGTAGACTTGTTGGTGCAAAAGACATTGTCCGTAAAAAAGAAAAGGACAAGAAAGAGTACATAAAGAAGTTAATGTTCCTGAAGAGACTATCAAATCTGAAATTTTTCATCTTGAAGAGAGTCATCCCATAAAACAATTACCTTCTAAAGAGGTTTAATTAACTCCGGAAGAGTCTCAAACACCTTTAGAAGATGCTCAGGTGCCTGAAAATTATGAGATCTCTATAAAATATGTGCACAATAGAAAAAAAATGGGATCGAAATATAGTTATTATGAATGATATATTTTCATTTGCTGTTGCTCTTGATATTTTAAGAGATAATGAGGAGCGTGAATCAAAAAATGTCAATGAATTTCGATTGAGAAATAATTGCCCAAAATGAAAAAAAAAAAAAAAAGATTCAAACAGAGTCAAATTCACTAACAAAACGTAGTTTATTATGACATGTAGTTCAAATGCCACAACAATGTTGAATTCGTTGGATATAACTAGGTGTTCATTAGAAAATACAATGAAAAAAAATGAAAATGTGGGTATAAGACACGACTTGTGGCACAGGGTTTTTTGTAGAGACTTGTTATTGATTATGAGAAGATATATTCTCCCGTAATGAAAGCTGTCACTTTCATATTTTTTATAGGTCTTGCAATTTCTTAAAGACTGGATATGCATTTGATGGACATCATTACTGTGTATTTGTATGACTCATTGGACAATGAGATATACATAAGCATCCTAAAGGGCTAAAAATTTCAAACACATATAATTCATAGCCCCAAAGTTTATATTTCTTAAAATTTAACAATCGTTATATGGATTAAAACAATCGGTGCGGATGAGGTATAATCATTTTAGGTAATATTGCTTGAAAGAAGGATATGTCAATGATTGATAAGTTCATGTGTTTATATTAAAAGATTTAATAGTAGATTTTTTATTATTGTTGTATATGTTAATGATTTAAATCTAGTGGGCATTTCAGAAGAGCTCACAAAAGTCTTCAGCTATTTAAAAAATGAATTTGAGATGAAAGATCTTGAGCAAACAAAATTTTGCCTCTTGAGCAAACAAAATTTTGCCTTGGCCTACAGATTGAACATTTATCCAATGTAGTTTTTGTACATCAATCAACATCCACAAAAAAGGTCCTGAAATAATTATACATGGATAAATCTCATCCATTGAGTTCACCAATGGTCATCCGATCACTAGATACAAAGAATGATCAATTTTGTCTTCAAGAAGAAGGTGACAAATTTCTTAGTCTTAAAGCACCATATCTCAATGCAATTGGTGCACTAATGTATCTTGCAAATTGTACGAACCTAGACATATTATCTACAGTTAACCTAATAGCAAGGTGCAACTCAACACTAACTCAAAAGCATTGGAATGGAATCAAACAAGTATTACGGTATCTCCGTGAAACAGTGGACATAGGGTTATTCTATGTGAATGACCAAAGTCCGCAGTTACTTGGATATACAGATGTCAGTTATCTTTCTAATGCACACAAAGCTTGATCACAAATTGGATATATGTTTACTTATAGTGGTACAACTATATCATGAAAATCGTTTAAGGAAACAATGGTTGTTCCATCATCCAATCACTCTGAAATATTACTCATCCATGAAGAAAGTCGAGAATGTATTTGGCTAAGATCCATGATCCAACATATTCAAAAGCAAAGTAAATTAACTGCAATCAAAGACATTTCAACATTATTAGACGAGGATAATACAACTTGTTCCACACAACTCAAGGAAGGATATATCAAAAGTGACAAAGCAAAGCATATCTCACCGAAATTCTTGTACTCCCATGAGTTAGAGAAGAATGGTGATATTAATGCTTAGAAAATCCGTTCAACTGAAAATTTGACAAATTTGTTCACTAAAGCACTCGCACGGGCTGCATTACAAAAATTGGTGAACCAATCAGAATGCAATGTCTCATAGATCTATCAAGCTAAACAATCATCATTTTTGATCAAATATATTCAACAGGGGAAGTTTGTACTCCTTTGTCCTTAGCTAAGGTTTTTTTCCACTGGATTTTATTTAGCAAGATGCATAACAAGGTAACGCTTAGGATCCCAATTATTTTAGACCCCGATATTGTTCCAATGTCCACCCAAGGGAGGGTGTCATAAATGCGGGCAGTTGAAACTCCGGGAAAGGAAGAGACATTGAACATTAAAATAAATTTCTCTCTCTTCCTCTCTGTATTCTCTCTTTATTTGTTTTTCGAATTAGTTATTTGCACCTACTTTAATTTGTTAGTCTTATAACAGTATTATTATTATTTGTGATTATTTTTATTTTTATGTATGACCGGTCTAACTGTTTGACCAGTGACCCATTGACATAACCTCTTTGTTGGGTTGATGTCTGGACTGAATCTAATGATGTGTCATTTGTTGTGCCACACCTAGTCTCAGAACTTTCGGAAGAGCAGCAGCAACAAGAAGAAGTTTGTTGGTAAGATTAATGTAGGAGAAGTTGCAGTAGGCTGCTTAGAGTAGAAAAGTTTTCACGCATTTTTTTTGTTGCTAAATATAAGATTGAGATTAAGGGAAAAAACAGTACAAGAGGTATAATCAACTACCAAGGCTCGATGCATGTCTGAAGACTTACAAAGTAATTCTCAACCAAGTCTATAAAACGTACCAACACATGGAGACCGTGCACAAATAGACGAAGGAAAAAATTTTATTCTTCCTGTCACTTGCGTCTTCTAATGTCGCTTCCTTGGGAGAAAGTATTCCATATTGTTGAAGCATTTTTGATAATGCAAATTTTTCCATTCATTCGTCTCTGACTCAGTGGAGACAATACTGTCCATTCCATTCTCTTCAGCAAATTCATCTTTTTTTTCCTCCGCCGCCATGCTCCTCTGTTTCTTCTTGGTTTATGGCAGGCATATTGTTTCGTATGCTGCTCAAAACTCTTAGTTGAGCAAAGTAAAGGTTGATGGTTTGCAAGGTGTGGCTCAAGTTGCCAAAAGGCCTCTTCGATAATGGATGGAAGTGGTTTAGGTAAACTGTTGTTGCTATCCAGTTGTAGTGCTTCAAATCGATTTTTGGAATGGATTTTTGTGCTTTGCAATGGTGATTAATCTCTAAGTTGGACGTTTCCCAAAATTAATTCCTGCTTGCTCATTTGTATTCTGCAAAGTTCCTCTAATGTCATGCTCCTTGGGACGAAGTTGTCTTTGACTTGTGGTTCCTACAGTATTAATATCACTGGTAGGAGGTAATGCTTCCTCTCCCTTCTTCTTACAAACTTCTTTGCCCTTAGAGATAGGTTATGGTGCGGCTGCTTAAACTAGTCCCATGATTTTGCATGGTCATCTTTCTAGGTTTTTTGTTCTGGACTAGAAGCCATGGACCAAAGCTTCCTTCATGATTGTTGTGGAGTTTTTGATTTTGCCCCCGTTGCTTTAGCATCACTTGTTGAGTATTTGTGAGAGTATCTACTTCCACATTACAAGCTTCACCAAGGTGACCAAGATGACTGCCCTTGAAGCATATCGTCTTAAGATCTTCATATATAACGTTGCTTGTGTTTACCAATGAAATATGCGAGATCAGCGGTGTTGAGGAAATAATTTGAACACAGCTTTGCAAATCTTCGGTTTGTAAGGCGGACTGCTGGGGCTGCATGTTGTTTGCTCCAGGGGTTAAGAGAGAATGTGTTACTTTGTCAAACCACATGAAAATAATTCATAAATTACCCATATTATGCTAAACCATTATTCCCTTAGTTTGCACCCCAGAGCTTCCCTTAGTTTAACTGCTGTAATTTGTATTTCCAAATGGGCAAAAATATGGCTACTGTAAAATGTCATTTACTAATACAGTAAGAAGCATTTCAGCTCACACATCTATTATTGCTGATCATTTGTTGAACACACTAATCAATGATTTTGCTGCTCTATTATTTGGAACAAAGGATACTGAAAATATTTTTGGAGGCTTACTGTTTCTATCCCCCTCTGTGAGCAATTAGATATCAATTACACAACCAAGAATTAGTAGAGAACACAAATTTGAACTCAATTAACTTCTCAGATGCTTCAATCCAAAGGTAATGCCATTTCCTAGCACCAGGAAAATTCAGTTCCTATTTTGAGTCATACCAACCGTGTCATTGAAGTGAAGCAAATATTAACAGCAATGCCCTGATATTGAATTGTTTTACTCCACCACCAACCACATGTAGGTTAGGTGATATGCAGTGCCCCTACCCCTGTAACCAGGGGATGTTCAAACCCTTGCTGCTATTCTTGAAGTTCTTTGGAAAAAAGAAATAATTACTTTACTCCAACTGAGGCCATCAAGTCGTCATATTCTGGATCACTCTCCTGTTTTCTCACCTTTGCTGGATCAGCACCCAGAAGAGGATTGACAGACACAGAAGTGGGTGAGAATGGATCATAACTTTGCTGTCCTCCAGAAGGGCTAGAAGATGGCTTGGCATACGGAAAGGAGAGATTCCCTCTGAACTGTTGATTTGGGGACACAATACATTGTGGCCGAGGTGCTGTGCCCAGATAGTTTTGCTGAAGTGGCACAGGATTTCCCAGCCGAGGATATGAAGGCCCAGCTGAATTGATCATCTGAGGAGCTGGACTGAAGTTCCTCATTTGGGGGGCCGGAGTTGTAGACACAACTAAACTTGGATTTGGAAAACCAGGATTTCTAACTGGAGCTGGAGGGCCAGTTAGAGTTCCAGCAAAGGTAATGGACATTGGAGCTCGAGGTCGACTCACCTGATTGCTAACCTGTGGCCTGGGGAAATCTTGCAGCTCAGGTATTGGGTTTGAATTGTGCATTGCTGGCCGAAAAGATAAGTTAAGAGCTGCCTGTGGTGGATTCATTGTTTGATTCATGGGTGGCACAATATGGGGCACAAGCTGACTGGCTGGCCTGGGAACCACTTGAGCTGGACTCTGTGACCGATGAGGCTGAAAAGTGAAATCACTGGAGCTAGGATGCTGGGGTTTTGGAATGGATACAGAGGGGGATTTTAAGGGAGTAAAAGTAGGTGCACTTCCAGACACAGAACTCGGTATTCCTAACTGTGAAGAAGGTGGTGTCGAAATGGATGTTACTGGTGAAGGAATTGGTGCAGATCCAAATACGGTGTTGGGGGATAAATTGGGCACCGCTGCCCGTTCCACAACCGGATGCACTGGTACCATAGAAGAAGATTGGCTTGCTATAGGTGCAGGTGATTGTGTTGGAATTAGAGTGGAGAATCCCACTTGAGGCTGTGGAACAGAAGCAAAGGCTGGAGCAAAATTAGGATGGTTAGCAGCTGCACCAAATGACTGGGAACTGGAGGGCCTGGATATAGGTGAAATCATATTGCTGGCTGGAATATTTAATGGTGGGCCTCCTGAAACATTGATGGGTTGAGAAGCCACAGGATGATGTCCCTGAGGGGGACTCATCAATGTTGACATGTTGCTTGGCCCTAAAGATGTTGGAGTACCCGCCGGTGTTAGTGGCCATCTTATAGAGCTCCCAGAAGGGGTCAATGGGCGGTCAGGGAATGCTGCTAGGGAAGCAGATTGAGGCAGTGAGGATACTACTGGTCTAGCAACCTGGGGAGGCCCTGTAGGTGCAGTTTGGTTGCCAGAAAACGGAGGTGGAGCTGAAATATTTGGTTGAGATGGTAGTGAAATTAAAGCTGCCATAGGAGGATTTCTTGGTGGGCCATTATGACCTAGAGAAGGGGCCTGAGGCATAAATGGATGCTGCAAAACTTGAAATTGTGGCTGTGATATTGAAGGAAAAAAAGAATTTTGGGGAACTGAAGTGAATCCGGCTGCCAAAACAGGTCTAGGGCCAAACAATGAAGGCAGATTTGAGGGATTGAAAGGTGTGGACGACACACGGACAGGGTTGCTAAGTAGTGGTGCTGAAGGATTTGCAGGGGTAATAAAGCCCGATGGTGGATGCAATGGAGTTTGAGGTGGACCTGTTGAGTACCATGGTCCCGGGTATCGTTGAAACAGACCTGGTGGTGGAGCTGGTGCAGATCCCATGATTGGTTGAGCCACTCCCTGGTTTACCACAGCAGAAGGGACTGTATAAGGGGCAGGTGTGCCTTGACTGAGATCAATAACATTCACATTATCACCAGACACAGCAGTAGAAGTTGTGGAAGAAGCTGCAGGGTTTACCTAATAAAAATGTTTGTAATTACAATCACGATTATGGGGAGCAAATAATTAAAGGGAGGAACGAGAGACCATGAGTAACTGAGAAAGCATGAAGAAATAGCTATCTATGATCTTCGGAATCACTCACTGAAACTAGCAGTTCAATTAGAGCGATGGCAGCATCAACTTTCTCATACGTGTCAGCTGATACGTGAACAAACAACTCTTCGTAAGCACCATGGATTCCATTTCCATCAGACGGACTGATTTCAACCTGGATTAATCATTTGCACAGCAGTGAAAAAAAAGCTCCACAAGGTGCCTTCCTATCAAAAAATATTAAAAAGGCACACTAACAGATCATGGCAATACAAAACTAGGAAAAGTTAACTAAGGAATATAGAAAGAATATCAAACAAAAGAAAAAGAAGAGGGGGGGGGGGGGGGGGGTGTTGGTACTAAGTAAAGAAATAGGAAATAGTAGATTATGGGTTTGATTATCTGAAGTGCCCGACAAAAGCAATAATTGTTTCACTTCCCCAATGAACATACATTCTCTTGCGAATCTGCCTTGGTACCACAAACTCGTACTTTAGCTCCAGTTTCCTGATTTGCAATTTTGGAACAACAATTAGATAAGGAGCCTTTGATAAATACGATGTCATTCATTAATGCAAACACCATAACATAGTATTGGAATGTGATGGCATAATTCAAATTGTTTACCTTTTCCAACCGCTTTTGTGTATCACTAGCTGGCCCAAAAATTAGACTAATAAAATTGTATCCAGGATATTCTTTTATCTACAAATACAACAATACAGCATCTTATAAGAAATTGACATTTTTCTGTTCCAGCGTCGATCAGAATTCAAATCTCACAGTTGGTCTCATTTTAAGAGAACTGAAAGTTAAGGGAAAACAAAACAAGAAAAACTGGCATGTGATTCAGTATGTCTGAACATTTTACAATCAGAATTGACATGAGGAAACAGAATAGATTATGCCAAGTATTTATAAATAAAATAAAAGGTCTCAATATTTGCAAACAATATAAGCTTGCCATCTCTGAATGCATCATTCTTCAAATCTGAAATCCACTCCCGACTCTTGAACTCTCTCTACATTGTTACAGTGAATTGCATGGTTCCTATGCCCTAATTTCTAGTGCAGAATCTAAAAACACTTCAATAAAGACAAAAGATTAGCAGCTCAGGAGTTCTCATCTATCTGAAGTTTCCCAATAATGGCCTAAATAGGTGTTTGTTTAGTCTATATAACATCTGTTAAGATTGTTCGGGCATTATGTAAATACCACTAGAGGGTATACATGTCTTTTGTATGGTTACGGGTTTAAATATAAATACAAGTGGTTTGTGAGAGGTAGGTTAAATTTTTGACTACTCCCTCTGTTTCTCTAATATTGTGTTACGTTAACTCTCTAAACGTAACATGGTATCAGAGCAATAAATCTAAAATTACTCTACAATTCATTCAATTAATCTTTTTTTTCTTGCGATTAACTAATTAAATCAACAATTCTTTCTGCCTTCTTCCTCTCGTTATTTATTGTTCCGTCGCTAGTGCATCCATGGCCATGGCATAGGGTCGTTGTTTGACCAGTAGCCATGGCTAGTGCTTGTGTTGATATCGGTTGTGGTAGGTGATGAAATCCGGCATATGGTGTTCGTCGATGTGTGATTCGTCGGAGTATGAGATAGTTCGTTGTTGCCAAAGGTCAGCATCATAATAGTGATTATTGTTGTCCGCCGTGTGGCTGTGGTGATCACAGTTTTAGCTTTCTTCGACCCTGAGTATTGGCGGTGGGTGTGCGCTGCTTGGGTGTTCAGATTAGGGTTTCTAACCCTTGCAGCGAAGGAGACTGCTTCTCCTTTGGGCCTAACACAAGCCCAAAATTTATTTAAACTAGTTTAGCCAAGCCCAGATCCTTTAGCCCAGGTGGTACATTAAGACCGGCTCAGCCTATTCTCAGACCGGTTGGTTCCAAGACATAGGTACTAGTCTCATCGTTTACAGAATTCATGAATACTGAGAACTACTTCCCAAAATGTAGAGGTGCATGCACGATTCCATTTAAGTTTGGAGCTTGGTACACAAGTTGATAAAGATAAATCTCTCTGGAAGCAACCTTGAGTATGCAATTACAGTACTGGACAGTCATGAGATGCATATCCCACACAGAGTTATCAACACACAACAAACTTGTCTACAAAATTAGCAATCTTTATTCTAATAGAATGGATATGCTCTCGGAGGGAAGGATTCAAACCTACGAATAGCGCCTTTCGCCCCCTTTTCTTGTTTTTTAAGATTTTCCTAAAGCTAAATAAAATCCAAATACATTTGATACAGAAATTGATTGTAGCATGGAAACAATACAGACTCACCTATGCCAACTTCAACCAACAAGTTGTAAAATTCAAAAATGCTAGAAAAGCTTTATCTGAAAAGCTAAGCTCAGTTTCATGTATCTTCTTTTTGCAATTTACCTCCACCCAAAAAAATAATAAATAAATTCATAGGCCATCATGTCTTCCCTCACATCTAAAGCCATGTTCTTTTGCTTTCCTCTTGTTGAGAGTATAATTATTATATTGTTTATATTTTATAGGGTTGTAATAAGTATATCTCTCTAAGGGTGTACTAGTCTTTTAAGTTTTCCTAGGTAACAATAAATAAAAGTTAAGAGTGAGAGGTAGCTTAGAATTGACTATTCTCTTCCTCTCTCATATTTTGGTTTTCCTCTACATTCTCTAAATTTAACATGGTATCAGAGGAAGGTTGATCTAAATTTGATATGAATTTTCTTTTGGTACTAAACAGCTGAAGCCCAGCCTTCCCGTTCTTTTTCCTTTTTTTTCTTCTCCTTTCCTTTTCTTCTTCCTCCGCTCTACTATGCAAATCGCGACTATGGTCTAGAGTTTATGATAAAGATCGAAAAAGGATTAGATGAGCTTAAATTGAAAAATAAAATTTTATTATTTGTTTTACTATTATTATATTAGTTAAATAATATTTGTTTGACTAGGAGTATTAATTAGTGTTTGACTAGGAAATTATTATAGAATTTTAGTAGTATAGGAGTTTAAGAGTTTGATTATGAAATTCTTTTAGAATCTTAGTAGGAGAATAGTTTTATTTTGGTAAGGGACTTATCCTATAAATATCTATGCAATCTCCATTATTTTTATTAGAGAGATTATGAATAAAAATTGAGTATTCTCTTCGGAGATTTGTGTTTCCTTGCGAGGATGAGGTAAATCCCTTCCACCCCCTTCTTTCTTCTACTCTTTCTATTCTAGTCTTTCCAGTCTTATATCAATTTGGTATCAGAGCAAAACTCCGTTCTATCATCTCTTGCTACTTTTCTTGTCTCTACTACTGCAATTCATAGTTGGATCTTGCCACAAAATTGCAGTTTTGTCTTCGCCTAGTACTTGTCACCTTCTTTGACTGCCGCAGCCAACTTCTTCGGCATAAAATCAGATTACTATCAAACCTGATCTTTGCCAAAATCGTTATTGCTCATACCATCGTCTTTCATCATCTTCAAACACTGTCAAACTCTTTGTCGTAGCCCATAACGTTGAGCATCGCTGCTGTTTGGAATGTTGTTCATTACGATTGATGTTGTTCCAACCTAGGGTTGTGGAGGAAGAAGACAATACACTGTTTAGTCTTTTGCCCCTGGACCCAACCATTTTTTCATTCAAAAGAATTTTCTACCTAGCCCACATAATACCCAAAACCTAAACATTGTCCAGCCCAAAAAAATAAATATAGCCCAAACAATCCAACCCAACATTACCCATCGGACCCAATCACCCTGAAATAGCACAAACACCCTCCCACGTTCCAGAAATTAAGATCTAACACCTAGAATTTCTGAAATTACACTTTCAACCCAAAAGTTTCAAAATTTTCACTTTGACCCCACAATTTTCTGAAATTATACTTTCACCTCCCAAAAGTTTCTGAAATTACAATTGGGCCCCTAAAGTTCCAAAAATTATAGAATTTTATGAAATTACATATTGACCTCAATTTTTTAAAAAAAAAAAAATCTTAAAACTCTCTTCAAACCAATAAGGTTTTCAACGCCGAATTAAATGCTAAAGTGGAGACTTTATCCAAGAACATGACAATTCACAAAGAGTCATGAATGCTAGACTAGATACAATTCAAGCATCCATCGATTCACTGAAGGAACTTGTACTCGCTATAGTTTGTGAAACCAAAACAAGTGAAAATTTTAACTTTGTCTCTTCAATTGTCAATCAAAAAGTGGTTGAACACAGCCCTCTAGTTATACCGCAAGTTCCACCATTACAAGTTCCAATCCAATTGAATGGCAATAAACCGAAGTTATTTAATGTTGATGAGCCCAAAAGTTCTACTTCTACTCATCCTACAACAATTGTTTTTGATAAGTCGATTGCGAAATGTGTTCCTACATATGAAGTTAAGAAAGTTTCAAGCGTGACTTTTTTAGATGGGGTTGCTACTTTTTTATCAACATCATCACTATCCTTTTATCTAGAACAAAGTGTGAAAGTTATGAAGATTCGAGATATAGATTCCTCTCATTGTGATATCCTATATTATGTCATTGAAGGGAGATCTTACTTTTATGCTATAAGGTTAGAAGATGTTTCACTATCTGATGTCAATTCTCTTAGAGTATTCTTGCTACAATAACTCTTCAGAAAAAAAAATTTCAGCCGAGGAGAATTGATAGAGATCGAAAAGGGATTGGATAAGCTTAAATTGAAGAATTAAATTTTATTATTTGTTTTACTATTATTATATTAGGTAGGGAATATTTGTTTGAACTAGAATATTAATTAGTATTTGACTAGGAAATTATTATAAAATTTTAGTATTATAAAACTCTTTTAAAATTTTAGTAGGAGAATTGTTTTATTTTGATAGGGGACTTATCTTATAAATATCTATGTAATCCCCACTATTTTTATAAGAGAGATTATGAATAAAAATTGAATATTCTCTACGAAAATTTGTGTGTTTTCTTGCGAGGATAAGGTAAATCTCTTCCACCCCCTTCTTTTTTCTTCTCTTTCTATTCTTTGATTTCTAGTCCTACATCAGTTTATGTCAACCTATGCATAACCAATGGTTGTGGGTGATGGTTGGACATCATTGTCAATGTGGTGATGGATTCCTGTTGCTGCGTCGTGCTTTAATCGATATTGTTTTGTGTTTGTTTAGTCCTCAAAAGGCATTGTTGATTATGTTGTGGTGGTCGCCAATGATCTGGTGTGAGTCATTTTCACTGCTGGAATAGACTGTTGAGTGCTGTCAATAGCTAGGGTTCTCTTGAACTCGTCAATTAGAAGTAGTTTGAAAAGGATCTGGGTTGACCCGTCGGCTTATAAAACATAACTAGGTCAATGGCTCAATTAATTGACACAGCCTAATCTTTGTTTGGGTCCAACATAGGCCCACTGTTCAGCCTAGCCCAAGCCCATTGGTTCAAACCTTCCAGCCTGAGCCTATTTGGTTCAGCTTAGCCCAAGTGAGGCCAGCCCAGACTAGTTCATACAGGCTTGGTTTAGTTCACCCGGTTCAATCCGATTCAAGTCTGTTTAGTCCGGTTCAGCATCTTTTACCACCAGTTCATTCTGGTCCTGTGGTTTTCCAGGTGATTTCGTTGCATCCGAGAATTTTCGTCCAGTTCAGCGGCTTTTAACGACCGATTCAGAGGTTTTCTATCTGATTTCGCTTACTTTGTCACTGGTTTAGTCCTCTGTTTAGCAGATCTGTGTTGGTTCAAGCTCCTAGTCTGGTTCTCTCTATTTTTTTAGCCTCGGGTTCTCTTATCTTCAACTAGTTTCACACTGTTCATGTAACTATTTTGCATTATTTAATCTACTTTTCGTTGGTTTGTCTCAAAATCTATGGTATCACTATGAAGCCCAAGACTAATACTCCACTTCCTAGCCCAAATCTTGCCACCCACACTTTCCCCAGCTGCCCTTCTTAATGTTCCCACTACTTTTGTCAAGTTCAATAGGATTTATTATGTTTTATGAACATATGGTCGCGATCTGTGCAAGTCTTTATTAAAGGCAAATGTCTTAAAAAGTATTTGGTGGGAGAGAAACCCGATGACATTGACCCTGGATTCGACAAGTGGGAACAAGAAGATGCATAGATTATTTCATTATTGTTAAATAACATTGAACCTCGTTTCACCTGGCAATGATGTATTCTAACACTGATAATTTGGGAATAATACTCGTACTTATGAGGTATACAAATAATATTTTTGCTTTGAGCAGGGTACTTTGAGTTGAGAAGACTATTATTCCCAAATTATGGAAATTTGTGAGAAATTCAGGATTTACCACCTATTCATTGTTAATGCAGAGATTGCGTGAGAATTTAGATGTTGTTCGCTTCTTTATTGGTTTGAAGCCTGAGTATGAACCTATTCGTGCCTAGATCTTAGGTGGTCCCAGTCGTCCATCTCTTCCGGATGTCTTTTTACGGCTTGCTATTTTGTCTGAGGACCATTCTAATGTATGGAGTCAGGTAAAGAATATTTTATCTAATAAATTTTCTTACTTTGTGTCATTTATGGATAATTATTCCCACGTGACTTGGTTATTTCTTATGAAAGCTCCTTCTGAATTATTTTCTATATTTAAAACATTCTATAAGAAAATCAAAACCCAGTATAGTTGTCGTATTTGTATTAGGATAATGGTTGTGAATATGACTCTGACCCCTTTTCTACTTATCTTCGTAAAACTAGCATTATTCATCAAACTTCATGTGTCCACACACCCCAACAAAATAGAGTGAATGAGCATAAAAATTGTATCTATTGGAAGTGACTCACGCACTTTTATTTCACATGCATGTTTCTCGATGTTTTTGAAATGATGCTATTTTTATTGCTTGTCATCTCTTTAATTGTATGCCCTCGTTTATGTTAAATAGGCACAGTCCCTATTCTGTCTTTTTCTCCATTTTTCCTTATTGTTCTTATCTCTTAAAATATTTGAGTGTGTTTGTTATGTTCACAACTTGAGTCCCAAATTTGATAAACTCACCCCTCGTACTCCAAAATGTCTTTCTTAGCTATTCTCGCACATAGAAGGGAGTCTCATTCCTACAATCTCACACTTCACAGATACTTCATTAGTGCTAATGTCAGCTTCACTAAATTGGTCCCTACTTCCAAGTTCATGTTCATCCCATGGACCTCGACTTTGACTAATCCCCTCCACCCCCCTCTTTCTTAGTTAATTTTGCACACAGAAAGGGTATCGTTAATACAGTCCCACACTTCGCAGATACTTCATTAGTGTTGATGTCACCTTCACTAAATTGATCCCTACTTCCAAGCTCCGGTTCATCTCATGGACCTTGACCTTGACTTTGAGCAATCCCCTCCACCCCCTCTTCCATTATCGTCCATCATTCCACTGCTTACTGTACTACCACCCACTTTACCACTCTCGTCCTCTTCCATTATGCTCCATGTATACTCTCATCATTAACGACCATCGACTGAGGTGCCTCTAACGTCTTCATCGCCATTTTCTGATCCTAATCCCCCTGTTACTTCCAACTCTTTATTCATTGCTCTTTGTAAAGGTACTTAGTCGTTTGTTACTCACCATCCTATTACTAATTTTGTTTCTTATGATGCATTGTCACCTGCTTTCTCTTATTTTATATCTCAACAGTCTATTATCTCTATTCTTAAGACCTTATAAGCGCATTATCTAATTCGTATTGGAAGAAAGTTATGGAAGTGGAGATGAATGTCTTACATTATAATGGACTTGGGACCTTATTCCTTTAACCCTGGTAAAAAAGATAGTTGATTGTTGATGGGTGTACACTGTCAAAATTTAATCCTAATGATTTTGTTGAACGCCTCAAAACCCGACTTGTTACTAAGGGATTTACCCAAACCTACGGTATTAATTATGGAAAAACCTTTTCGCATGTTGCCAAAATATCTTATGTTCGTGTAATAATTTTTTTGGCTACTAATCTCTATTGGCATTTATTTTAGTTAGATGTGAATAATATCTTCTTACATGATGACTTGGTTGAAAAAGTGTGCATGAAGCAACCACCTAGGGTTACTGCTCAGGGGGAGTATCATAAGAGTGTCGGCTCAAGAAATCTTTGTATGGTTTAAAGTCATCACTGAGAAGATTTTGATCTTCTTAAATGTCAATAGGCCATTCTGTTTTCTACATACATACTAATTCCAGTACATTATACTGATTGTTTATGTGGATGATATTGTAATTACCGAAGATAATTCTGAGAGTATAGCAAAGTTGAAAGTCTTCCTGCTGGATCAATTTCATGCTAAAGACCTAGGCAAACTTAGGTGCTTCTTGGGTATTGAAGTTGCTATGCTGGATCAATTTCATGCTAAAGACCTAGGCAAACTTAGGTGCTTCTTGGGTATTAAAGTTGCTAGATCTACGCAGAATATTTGTTTATCTCAAAAGAAAATATGTACTTGACATGTTAGAGAAAACAGGTTAACTAGGTGGAAGACCAATCAATGTTCCTATGGATTCGAACCAAAAGCTATTGATGGATAATGGTGCATTATTTAAAAATTCAGGTTGGTATCGTAAGTTGGTCGGGAAGCTAAATTATTAAACTATTACCCCCATCATATATTGCATATGCAATTAGTGTTGTGAGCCAGTTTATAGGATTTCCTAAAATACCATATTAGGATACAATCATTTGCATTCTTAGATACCTTAAACGTGCTTGTGGACTTGGATTGTTGTATCAAGCCAATGGAACCTTAGAGTGGAAGATTTTACAGTTGTTCATTGACCTAGCTCTCCCTCAGATTGAAAATCGAAGATCAACTACTGTTTATTGTACTTTCTTGAAAGTAACATGGTTACATGAAAAAGTAAGAAACAAACATTGGTAGCAAAGTCTAGTGCCAAGGCTTGAGTATAGGGTAATGACGCATACCACTAGTGAGTTGACATGATTACGATATTTTCTTCAGTAGATTGGTTTTCCAGTCCAACATCTCTTACAGTTGTACTGTGACAATAAGGCAACCTGTCGCAATGCTACTAATCCGTTTCCATGAGAGGACCAATCATAGCGAAGTTGATTGTCACTTTATTCAAGACAAGATACTAAATGGAGATATTGTAACACCGTTTGTGAAATTTGAGGATTAGCTTGCAATATGTTCACCAAAGTATTGAAATATACTCGTCTTACAACAATTTGTTCCAAGTTTTTATTATATAGCATATATACTAGAGGGGAGTGTTGAGATTATAATTATTATATTGTTTAAATTTAATAGGGTTGTAATAAGTATACCTCTAAGGGTATACTAGTATTTTATATTTTCCTAGGTAACTATAAATATAAGTTCAGAATGAGAGGTAGGTTAGAATTGACTACTCTCTGCCTCTCTCATATTTTGGTTTTCCTCTCCATTCTCTAAACTTAACACCTCTATATCCTTAAAACACTTTCAATATATAATTATATCCGAACTTGAAACTCACTGCTTTCCAAATTTGTGATCTGACATGCTTCTAACAGCCATGATCCAAACTGACACCGCTATAGCTGTTCTATCGAATACTAAATTACATACCATTTATCGATCTAGATAAGTGGCAAATTTTATGTCAGGTACCCTAATTCCATTAAAATGCCTACTACCCCAAAATGTCAAACCAAGTGCTAAGTTATCTAACCATAAGTTCTGTGTATCGTAATTATTTATTAATCTCAGAGAAGTATAATAAATATACAAAATAAGAAGCGAGACAGTTGGGTATATTTTCCTACAACCTTGGTCGCAAATTGGTGGTTATAATAACATCAAGAAAATTGAACACAAAAGGCAGTGAACAGACATGCAAGAATACTATTTTGGCTTACAGGAATTGGAACTTTGGACTCTTTAAACAAAGGTTTATAATCAGCAGGAGCCTTATAACTTGGATTCAGCTCTAGTATTTCACCTGGAAATTGTCAAGAATACAGTCAGAACGCCACATATAATTGCAAACAAAGAGAACAATCTATAAAAGTATGTAAGCGTACCAATAGCTTCACGCCTTTCGAGTTCCAATAGTTCTGACTCCTACATCCACAGATTTCAATGTAAGTTTTTGGAAGCTAAAACCCTTGCATAATAATTAACATACCCCAAAAAAGTGATTTTACCTCATTACTAATATGTTGACCTGAAGACTCATAATCCATCATCTGGGATGCTGATGGTGAGGCTAAATTTTCCGCCATCTCCAACTTTCCTGAGTTTAGCTTTCGTGTAATTTGATCCACCCGAGTCTGCTCAAATTTTGTGCCATCACACAGGCAGCAATGTCAATTAGTGGCACCAAGAAGGGGATGCAAGCCATTACATGGAAGACACGACATTTTAGCACCCAAAGGCAGAAATAAAATATTCCTCCCACAGATTGAAGCTAAACTCATTCACAAAAATTTGAATTTGTAATAGCTAAGTGAATGTCCAAAAGGTAGGTAACAGAAAAGAGAACTATTTTAGTAAAAAAAAATCTTGTAGAATATATGGTAATGGAAGCATAAAAAGACGCAATATAGATCATAACTTGCAAAGAATTCCCACATACCTGATAAGCTAAAGCTCTTCCCTTTCTAACAGCAGCATCCTGTGTCAGATCAGGGCCCCATTTAGTTTTCCGCTGCACCTGTTTAGCACTTTCTTCATTCACCACCTCACTACCACCTGGCTTTTTACCCCCACGGAAGATAGGAATCAATGAACCTGATAATTTGTTTCTCGGTATTACAAATCCAGTTTTTTCACAAACATAGAACTCTTGGATGCACTTGTTGATGGTGTAGCTGTTACAGCAGTCTGAATAGCAGCAGATGCCTGCTCAATTTTCGTGCTCATCTTGCTTTCCAAGCACACTTCCCCAATTGCTTACTGTAATTTACAAACTTTGAGAAGTTAAGCCACAGTTAAGAATCAACCTTAGGGGTCTCAGTATGAAACTATTCATGGCTCAGACTAAAGTCGCCAAACATGCATAAGAAATATTTTTTTTTGAATGAAAACCCCAGATTTCATGACAGATTCAAACAGTGATTGCAAATGGTAGCGTTATGATTATTATAGACCCAAGTTGTCAAAAATATGTAACGCAACGCACATCGTCTTTTAAAAAATAATGTATCGTATACCATATCTATCGTAATCTTAGAAAAACGTATTAAGAAATAATCTATACTATTTATACATGTCAGCATCTGTGAAAACTTTTGATTTCTTATTTTATTATAATAAAGTCAATTATACCCACCAATATATATACTTTCATCTAATTTTTGTTTTTTTACGCCTATTTGACTTTCAACTTGTTTACACTTTTTTATAATGACTTCTAAATTCTTTTAAACTCATTTATTAGTAGTATAGTTACATACAATTTTCTATATCTATATAGAAGTAAATGATAAACTTTGGATTTCTTATTTTAACCCTAATTATTATAATAAAATCCATTATACCCACTAATATATATACTTTCATCTAATTTTTGTTTTTTACTCCTATTTGACATTCAACTTATTTTAAACTCTTTTATAAGGACTTTTAAATTCTTTTGAATTCATTAATTAATTGTACAATTACATACAATTTTTTATATCAATATGAAGAAGTAAAATCGTATATATATGTTAAATTATTATACAAATATAGTTATCAAATTGAATTCCATGGTCAATATATATATATATATATATATATATATATATATATATATATATTTTTATTTTATTTTTTTTGGCATACAATAATATAATAGTATTATAAGCAATCTAATCAATCTATTTTAAAAAATAAAAATTAATAATTCTATAATATAATTAGTGTCCAAATGCCTAAAAAGGTCGGAGAGATACCTAAATAAATGACAAATTAGGTATTCAAAGTTTTATAGAATAAATTAATAATTAAATTTTAGTAATAATTAAAATCTAAATTAATAATTTGACTTTTAATTTATTATTTAATTTAATTACATATATAATTTCATATTTTTATAAAAAAAATATTTTTAAATTTATTTACGTGCAACACACGTCGTGCATTATTAGTACTATTAATAAAAGTGCTTTAAGATGAAAAACTTTTGAATCTCTATTGAAAAGGTCAATCTATCCTTTTGCAAATAAATATTTAAATTATCTTCATATCCTTATATATTTAAATTTCTAAATTATCTATAACATATCTTTTAATTATCTATTTTCTATGTATAAATATTAATTTCTATAATAAAAATTTGATTGACTATATTACGCTTAAAAAATATGCACCATTATATTTTCAATAAAGTGTTCAAAAAATTTTTAAAACTCTATCAATCTAATATTACTCATATCATATGCAAAGATAGCATTATACCTATATATGTGTATTTTTTTTATCAAAAAGTTTAATCCTTTTATTTTTAAGTTGAAATATAATTCTATATTTAGTTTTTTAAAATCAATTTATGTTACACAGTATAATTCTTTAGTCATAATAAATTTTTTAAGTTGTACTAATATTCTATGTAAAAATAGATATTACATTATACTTTTCAACAAAACTTGAATTTTTTAAAATTTTAATTTACTTGATAATATATATTATAGAGTAGTACATAAAATATTATCTCAATTGACCTAACTAATTCCTAATTAAAATAAGGTTCCAATGTGATTAGAAATAAGCGCATAGTCTTCATTTAGTATTGGACTAGCATGCTAACATTACAAATTCCATCAGTTTGGATTGGATTTGTAGTGCACACTCCTAAATTGAAAGTGGGCATGAAAAAGAATTGTCAAAAGAAACTTAAATATAAAAAGACAAAGTTTCCCTTGCAGTCTTTGAAAAAGAAAAAAAAAACTTAATACCCACTTGGCCCTCACCCCTCCAATCAACACATCCAGCAACTCCACCACTACCCTTTGCCCCCCGTCTCTCTCTCTCTCTCGGACTTAGACGTATCTTCCCTTCTCTTTCACACCTTTCCTCTCTATCTCTCTCTCTCACACACGCACAGAGATCCCCAGCAGAGCATCTATCACAAAATGCAGCCCTTGCATCAGCCTAGATCCACCTCAGAGTAACTCCACCATCGATAGCCACACGGGTGAAGTGCAAACATACCATCGCACGGAGCAATCCGTCGACAGTATAGACGGAGCAAATCTCTTGAGCAACTTCACCGTCAATAACAATGGGACAGAGCAACTTCGTCCCAATTTCAGAATTTCAACAGCAAACAAACAGCATTAAATTCATTCACAATTTCTACCAAATTGGGTCCAATTTCAACACATCGCAATTTCACAATGTCATGAATTGGGTTTGATTTCTAACAGTTCACAATTTTACAGTTGCCATTCAATTTCTACCAATCACATTTTGACTAATTGGGTTAGAATTTGTTACTTTTTTTTGTTGGTTTGAATAGGGTTATTTTGGTGGTGGTGGTGGTGGTGGTGGTGGTGCATAGTGGTGCACAGTGGGGGAATAGTGGTGTAGTGGTGCACAATGGGGGAATAGTGGATGTAGGCAGGTGAGGTGGTGCAAGTGGTGCACAATTGGGTGGTGCAGATGGTGAGAGTGGTCCACAGTTGGGTGGTGGAGGAGGTGCGCCATGGTGTAATGGTGGATGTGGGCAGTGGAGTGGAGTGTTTGTGGGGATTGTGTCGCGAAATAAAAGAAGAGAGGAATACAATGAGGGGTAGGAGTGTCTTTTTCCTGTCTCCGGTAATGGTGTTAGCCATTTATTTTAGTCCAATATTACCGGGGGTGAAAAGAAGTTTGCCCATAAATATATAGTGTCCAAAATAATACAAATACCATTTCAACTCATTTCTCTTTCAATCCTTCATCCTTGCAACATAATATTTTCCTATTTGAAGAAGAAGAAGAAGAAACGGCAAACGCAGACGCAGATCCTAGAAGAAGACAATAGTAGGCTTTATTTGTTTGACATCAAACCAAAAAGAAAGAAACAACATATAGGAAATGATGTTTCACTGTTTAGGGTAAAAAAAAGTCTTGTGAAATACTATCATTTCATTGTTTAGAGTAAAAAATTAAAAAAAAAGATCATGTTCATATTGGTTTTTTCACTTTATCAAAATGTATTGCAAGAAATGTATTGCTTATCGTATCACACAAAGAAAAAACAATACGACTCATTAATACCTATCTCTTTTCCACTGTATTGTAACGCACTGTAAGATACATACCAAGTATCGTAAGATACTAACAACTATGTTATAGAACAGAATTGTCTAGTTTTTGTTATCAAATTCCTAAGGACAAATTTCATTTTTGGCTAACCTCAAGTTTGCACATCATCTACTTCGGTCTCTAAAGTACCATTTTTGCAATTTCATCCATGACGTTTCCACTTGATATTTAAATGGTTAAATCCATCATGAAGATTAAACAAGTAATGGAACACTATCATGTGTGCCTACATGCTTACAATACAGTGGTGTTCTGCTCAAAAAATAAAAAAGGTCCCAACTCAAAGTCGGGTAAAATCTAACCCACTAGTGAAAACTATGATACATGTCAACTTTGACCCATCAAATTCTTCTTCTTCTTCTTTTGGTGGTCCACCTCTAGCCCAATCCCACGCCACCCCATCGCTCCCATCCCCAACCCAACCTAACCTTCCCACTCCATTTATAAACAAAAACATCGAAACACGTAAGAATGTTTCCAAGCACAATATTATAAAACCTATTTCCAAACACAAGATACAATCTCTTTGTCTCTCCTATACTTTACTCTCTATCTGTACATTCAACTCCTCTTTCTATGCTTGGACACCATGACAATGGCCATTTTGCTTTCTTCTTGTGGAGTGTTTACTCTCTTTCCTCCATCCCAACTTGTGCAGCAAATTTTGTATCAAAGCATAATTCAATCC